CTATATGGACTCAAACAAGCACCAAGAGCTTGGTATGATACATTGTCTCAATTTCTTATAGACAATGGATTTACCAAAGGAGTCATTGACAAGACATTGTTCAAAATACAAGATGGTGAAGATCTCTTATTGGTCCAAATCTATGTGGATGACATCATATTTGGCTCAACTAAGGAAGATCTATGCACTAAGTTCTCAATCCTCATGCAAGGAAAATTTGAGATGAGCATGATGGGAGAACTCAACTACTTCCTTGGCCTTCAAATCAAACAGAGAAGTGAAGGCACTCTCATCAATCAAGCCAAGTATACAAGGGATCTTATCAAGAAGTTCAAAGTTAATCAGAAGTCATCCGTTTCTATCCCCATGAGTACATCCACCAAGCTTGATATGGATGTAGATGGAAAGGATGTAGATCAAACTCTCTACAGAGGAATTGTCGGATATCTACTTTACCTTACTGCAAGCCGTCCGGATATCTCATATGCAGTAGGTGTTTGTGCCAGATTCCAGTCAAAGCCAAAGGAAAGTCATTTGATAGCAGCTAAAAGAATTCTTAGATACCTCAAAGGAACTCAGAACATGGGTTTGTGGTATGCTAAAAACAATTCATTTGAGTTAGTGGGATACTCAGATTCTGACTTTGCCGGATGCAAAGTTGACCAGAAAAGTACATCTGGTACTTGTCAATTCATTGGTGGAAATCTTGTTTCTTGGTTTAGTAAGAAACAAAACTCCATTTCTACATCAACAGCAGAAGCAGAGTACATTGCTGCTGGTAGTTGTTGTGCTCAGATTTTGTGGCTAAAACAACAACTACTAGACTATGGAGTCAAGAAAAAGGAAGTGACAATCTTCTGTGACAATCAAAATGCTATAGCCATCTCTCAAAACCCAGTGCATCATTCTCGCACTAAGCACATTGATGTCAAGCATCACTTCATCAGAGATCATGTGGAAAAGAAAGATATCAAAATTGAGTACATCTCAACTGAAGAACAACTGGCGGATATCTTCACAAAACCACTCAGTGAAGCCAAGTTTTCCGATTTGCTTCACAAAATTGGTCTAATTCAATTAGACTAAGTGCGTTACACGTGGCGAACTACTTTCCACGTCTGTCAGTATATTGGGTAGGCACGTGGCCTTGGGAATAGTCTAAAACCCAATCGCCACTAGCCGCATAAATCGCCCGAATCAAACCCAATCGCCACCAGCTGCGCAAATTGCCCAAATAAAACCCAAACGCCACTATTCAGATCTAAACCGCCCATTCAAAATTTTTCGTCGTCTTCTTTGCGAAAACTCTCAAGAACCCTAGGTCTTTCTCTCTCAAATTCTCAATCAAATTTCTGAGAAAATGAAGATTGTCGGAGCTAATATTCATTTCCAGAAGTTAGAAGCCAAGTGCTGCTCATCGACATTCTTTCAAAGCTATCTGGAAATGATAGCCGCTCAAGAACTCTCAGAATTTCTTCAAATGGAGATTCGCCTCAAATTCGAGGAAGAAGTTCTTGAATTCTACAGAAATGGAGAAATCAAAACTGCTCATTCAAAGAAGGACCCACAGCGGACATTTCCGGTCATCAAGTCCACTGTTGGAGGTATGAAAGTGAAGCTTTCGCAGAAGAAATTGGGAGAAAAGCTTCGCCTTCCCAACTCTGGGATTGAAATTGGGAAATTTCCAGCCAAAAATCTGGACTGGAACATCATTGGAATTTCTGGGCAAATTCCTTCTGGCCCGGCAAAGAAAGCAGATCTAAACAACGACTACAAGTTGATTTTAGAACTGGTCATCGCCTGCCTCGAGTGTGGAAGTGGAGGTCACGCCGATGACATCACCCAGGAGAGAGCCTTCATCATCAACGCTCTCATTACCAAAACTAAGGTAAACTGGG